TATATATGTTTTCTGAGGTTTTCGCGGGTATTTGTATATAGGTCTTTGGTTGTTCGGGTTTTCTCCCGCGTAAAATTGGAAGTGTCTTGGCAACGTTTCGACGAAGTCACATTCGTCATCTTCAGGCTGGTGTTTTTAGCTTCTTGCTTTGAGCAGCAAATATATATATATACCTACATGCTTACATATAAATAACATATAAATATTAATCACTGTCCATCTTGAATACATAACAGAAGGGGGAAGTTTTAGAGTTCATAAGATTAATACTGTATGGAACAAAACTATGACTGAATCTGGATGCTCTGCTTCGGATACCACAAAGTCCCCTTCCAGAAGGTAACAAGGAAAGCAGGTCACTGAAAGGACGGGTAGCATCCTAGACAATCTTGCGGACCCTGCTCAAGCAACGCTTATGTGTCATGTCCTGGATAGAAGGAAGTGAACTTCCAATAATCTTTTCTACCGTCCTCACCACTCTCTGCACTGCCTTCCTATATGAAGCAGTGATGCTTCCAACCCAGACTCTGATGCTGAATGACAGGATGCTCTTGATCATCCCTCTGTAGAAAGTGGTCAGGACAGGGGAAGGAAGATGTGCTTTTCTCATGCGATGCAGAAAATGCAGGCGCTGCTGTGCCCGCTTCACCAGGGTCTCGCTGTTGTAACTTTGCACGGTTACTAAACAAAAGATTGTAAGTCAAGGACTATCTGTACTCCTATTGATTCCAACTGCACAATATTGATACAATACTATTGTCAAAGCTTCTTCAGTGGTGGGCTTTTCAAGATAGGTGTACATTAAGCAGAATTTGTCAGTCAAGCAAAACACCACTACTGAATCAGTGACAGGATTAGAAATGCTGCATTTTAAACCAAATCTACTCTAGATAGCCATGTTCGCATGAGTACAAAACAAAGGATGCACTACCACTGTCCTGATTCTGGAATAAAGAGTGTACGTCTTATGGTGATCCCGCAAAAATTGCTTTCCTCTAAAAATTTGTGGTTGAACTTTTCACCATGCCAAGGCCACAGAAAAGGGAGGAGTAAGGAACAGGGAGAAGAAAAGGGGAAGGAGTAATAAAAAAACCCCAAACATCTGTTTTGTTTATTTTAACAGTATAAATAAAGCCTCAAGGAAATTCTAGAGACAACTGAAAGGCTATTAAAGATGATTACTCCTGGTCTGATTGGGATATTTTGAATTTGTACCTTGGCTACATGGCCATGAAATATTTTGAGGATCTTGCAGACATTTTATCACGAGGCTATGTAACAAAATCAGAGCACAAGGGAAGGTTTGCCAACTTTACTCCCCCATGCACTGATGATTCATTGCCTAGTCTGTAAAGAAATGTCTGGAATGAGAAGAAGTTCAGAGATGGCTAAGAACCCACCAATTCAACACTGAACTATATTTATTTAATACTTCACTATTAAAATCAACACAGGTAGGCCTCAACTTACAACCTTTTGTTTCACAACAGCTCAAAGATATGATAGCCCCAGAAAAAGTGACATATGACTTGTACTTACATTTACAATGGTTGCAACACCCACATGGTCATGTGATAGCTATTTGAGTGTTTGGCAACCAGCTCACATTTACAAGCGGTTGCAACATCCTGTAGTCATGATTTGTGACCCTTTTTTATGAGGGGTGGCTGGATTCACTTAAGAACTGCTGTAAAAATGGTTATAAAATCAGGTCTGACTTGACTTCTAGCCACAGAGACTTATGATGGAAATTCCAAACCAAACCATAGTTGTTTATGGAGGACTAGCTATATTTTCCCTAGAATGGTGGCTGGTTTGTTCATGTATCTCAGTCAAATGTAACCCTTCCATTCAAAGGTATAACAAGGAACCATTGTCATAAGGGTATGTCCTTAAAACACATTTGCAAAGTAGGTCTACAGTTTAAACTTACAGGTCCAGGAGAAATATCACAGCAGGTTTCAAACTCAGCGTGTCGTGAATCACAATAAATAACCATCCGCTGAAGGTCAAACTAAAAGAAAAAGAAATGGTATCAGTTCACTTCCTGAGTTTGTAGCAGGATAATAGCAGGTCCAGAAAAGTATTTGCTGACATAATGCAAATGCAAATTTGCTCTTGCAAGGAGAAAAAAATAGTGGAAGAATGTGTGAACGTTTACAGGTGCAGAAAGCTTGGAACAAGAAATAGAAGAAGGCAAAAGATACGTGAGACATTTTAGAAAACTGTTTAGTTGGATTGAGGGCATGAAACTGCAAATAGCCCTTCTCTGAGTAATTCTAAGTTTTAAAATCCACGTCAGGGTAGGAAAATGAGCAGTAAACATTTCACCATTCTCTCCATCTTCTGTGTGATGCTTTTATTTACGTTGATGATTTTAGAACTAGTGTCAGAATTCAGACATTTCTGGCAAGATTTAAAAAGTTTGTTCCATTTCATGAATGATTGGGCTGCTTATCAAAGTTTAAGATCCAGAAATTGCATATGCTAAAGATGGCAGAAAAAAAGAGGGTGTGATTCTAACAAAGTTGGAAGGGTCTAGTAATGAAAGTAATGAATATATATGTCAGTAGAATAATGTAATGAATATATATGTCAGAAGAATAATGACAACAGGTACAGGAACCAACCTTACAATGTGAACTGAAGTGGTGAATAGCTTATAACTGGAAGGGACCTCAGAGGTCATCCAATTTAACAGAATAACTAAATTGGAAGGGACCTTGGAAGTTTTCTAGTCCAACCCCTGCTCAACCAGGAGACCCTATACTGTCCAGTCTCTTCTTAAAAACTCCAGTGTTGGAGCATTCACAGCAAGTCGTTTCACTGGTTAATTGTTCTCACTGTCGGGCAGTTTCTCCTTAGTTCTAGAATGCTTCTCTCCTCAATTAGTTTCCATCCATGGTTTCTTGTCCTGCTTTGAGGTGCTTTGGAAAATAGATTGACCCATTCTTCTTTGTGGCAGCTCCTTGAATATTGGAACACTGCTACCATGTCAACCCCTAGTACACTTTGTCTTCAGAGAACTACCAATAGTTTTGGTTTTAGTACAGTTTGTTAATAATATTTTAATCTGCATAGTTTTAATGTCTAATATTTTAATTATTTGTACTTGTTGTTTTTTAACTTGCCAGCCACCCAAAGTCACCTTATAGGGGACATAGGCAGCATAAAAAATAATAATATAATATATACATAACATAAAAATAGAAATGTGGCCACTGGCTAAATAATAATAATAATAATAATAATAATAATAATAATAATAATAATAATAATAACAAAATACAAAGACCTACAAATAGAAATAGAAAGACTGTGGCAAAAGCAAGCAAGGGTAGTACCAATAGTCATAGGCTCCTTGGGTGCAATCCCAAAACAACTGGAGCACCACTTGAACACCATTGGCATTGACAAATTCGCTATTAGTCAATTGCAAAAGGCAGCCTTATTAGGAACTGCTTCCATCCTGCGACGATATCTGTAATACCATCAAACATCCACATCTGCCTATCCCAGGTCCTGGGTAAGGACTCGATAGGTAGACAAAATGCCAAATCCAGTCTGAACATCTGGCTGACTGTGCGATGATCGATAATAATAATAATAATAGTAAAGTTGGAAGGGACCTTGGAGGTCATCTAGTCCAACCCCCTGCTCGGGCAGGAAACCCTACACCATTTCGGACAAATGGCTGTCCAGTCTCTTCTTAAAAACTTCCAGTGTTGGAGCATTTACTGCTTCTGGAGGCAAGCTGTTCCACTGATTAATTGTTCTCACTGTCAGGAAGTTTCTCCTTAGTTCTAGGTTGCTTCTCTCCTTGATTAGTTTCCACCCGTTGCTTCTTGTCCTGCCTTCAGGTGCTTTGGAGAAATAGCTTAATTCCCTCTTCTTTATGGCAGCCCCTGAGATATTGGAACACTGCTATCATGTCCCCCCTTGTCCTTCTCTTCGTTAAACTAGACATACCCAATTCTAGCAACCGTTCCTTATATGTTTTAGCCTCCAGTCCCCTAATCATCTTTGTTATTATTTAATATTTAATATTAAATATTAAATATTAATATTAAATATTAAATCTATCATTATTCTATACTGCATGGAAGATATTTTAATGCCACAGACGTCTTAAAAAGTCTGTATTCATAATTTAAATAAACGAGAGACACAGTGGCCTAGTGATGAAGATGCTCCCCTCCCACTTGGAAGGTTGAGAGTTCGATTCTAAGTAGTGGCAGGTATTTCCCTCTCAAGGTACAAAGAGAAAATATCTGCTGCAAACTCCACATACCGTATATTCTGGCGTATAAGGCGACTGGGCGTATAAGACGACCCCCAACTTTTGAGAAGCTTTTCCGGGTTTAGAAAGTCGTCTTATACGCCAGAAAATACAGTACAATTTCTGTTTATAGATGAGCACAATAGGAGCTCCTTTGCTGCTAGAAAGCTTTGTCCTGTTAGTGCTTATTTCTGTAAAAAAATAGGGCTGGCCACTAGGGGGCAGATTGGTTTTAAATTCAGAGAACAGCTACCATCTATTCCTGCGTATAAGATGACCCCCGACTTTTGAGAAGATTTTCAGGGTTTAGAAAGTCATCTTATACGCCAGAAAATACGGTAGGTGTCAGGAAGGGCATCCAGCCAGTAAACGCTCAGCTCCACCAGTTGTCCCAACCCTACACCAAATTAAAGGGATTATGGGGTCGTAAAAAATAACCCATAGTTTAAATAAATATAGAGGATATTTTAGGGATATGATTGGTGGTAGAACTGACCTCCCCTTTGGGGGGTAAGCTTTGTTCCTGATACTTACATCAATTGGCACACTGTCATAAAGGCGTTTGCCAATCACTGTTTTCCCTTGGATGTCAATATTTTCTCTGTCTTCAATAGGTAATGTCTGGACCAGTTTGCAATTGATGTATAAGGAGACCGTCTGAGACTGGATGCTCAGGGCAATCTTATGCCAGTTACGATCAAACAGGTCATTGACAGGTCCGTTTTTGAAGACCACTCTCACAGCATCTCTGGTGAGTCCAACTGCATTGTACTCCAAGGCTTTGTTCTCCCCATCTAACCGAATGGAAACCTTTGAAAACAGACATATTACTGTAAGGAGAGGAACCTTTATAGAACAAATACCCAACAAAGGAGAGATCAATCATGAGAAGAAGGGTAAGAACAAACTTCATCAAACAGAGAATCCATTTCTATGTGTCCCAGATGTTTTGCACCACCAACTCAAATGCTACAGCTGGCATTGCCAGTTATGAGGAATTATGGAAGACCCTAGGTTGAGTGCAGCAGTAAATCAAATTTAACAGCCTTGGAGGACCCAGAGTGTTGATTTGCTTTAATAAGTTCTAATCTGCAGCTAGGGGTATCCCTGATTCTGAGGATTCATTATTCCTGGTTCATTACTATATACAATCAACATGCTAGACACAAAAGACAAGAAAAAAGTATAACTGTGTGGGATAGGCAAATGGTCATCCAGTGACTTCTTAAAAACTTCCAGTGTTGGAGCATTCACAACTTCTGGAAGCAGGTTGTTCCATTGCTTAAGTGTTCTAACTGTCAGGAAATTTCTCCTTAGTTCTAGGTTGCTTCTCTCCTTGATTAGTTTCAACCCGTTGCTTCTTGTCCTGCCTTCAGGTGCTTTGGAGAACGGTTTGACTCCCTTTTCTTTGTGGCAATCCCTGAGATATTGGAAGACTGCTATCATGTTACCCCCTAGTCCTTCTCTTCATTAAACTAGACATACCCAATTTCAGCAACCGTTCTTCATATGTTTTAACCTTCAATCCCCTAATCATCTTTGTTGCTCTTCTCTGTACTCTTTCTAGAGTTTCAACACCTTTTTTACATCATGGTGACCAAAACTGGATGCAGTATTCCAAGTGTGGCCTTACCAAGGCATTATAAAATGGTATTAACACTTCACATGATCTTGATTCTATCCCTCTGTTAATGCAGCCTAGCACTGTTTGCCTTTTTGGCAGCTGCACCACACTGCTGGCTCATATTTAAGTGATTGTCCACTAGGACTCCAAGATCCCTCTCACAGTTACTACTATTGAGCAAGGTACCACCTATACTATACCTGTGCATTTGGTTTTTCTTGCCTAAATGTAGAACCTTACTTTTTTCACCACTGAATTTCATTTTGTTTGATAGCGTCCAGTGTTCAAGTCTGTCCATGTCCTCCTGTATCTTAAGCCTGTCTTCTGGAGTGTTGGCTATTCCTGCCAGCTTGGTGTCATCTGCAAATTTGATGAGTTCCCCACCTATCCCCTCATCCAAATCATTGATGAAGATGTTGAAGAACACTGGGCCCAGAACAGAGCCTTGGGGCACCCCACTACACACTTCCCTCCATGTACATGCAATTCCATTGAGGACCACATACTGAATTCTTGATGGGTAATCATGTTTGACAAATATGGTGAGGGATATAATCACCTTCTCTTTCAGTGTTGGACAATCATTCAATCAAATGCCACTATTCCTGAAGAGCATACTGGGTTAAAACTGTTTAAATTTTCGTTATTGAGTACTTATGGCTATCAAACAAATCTTCATTTATTATTATTTTCTTGTACCAGTAATGGAGTGACATCTTTAGTTGTTCTGAAGAACCATGTTGTTCAAGTTATGATACTTTGTTTTATGAAGCAGAACGTATAGTCCCACCTTCTACTAAATCAATGATTCATATACCAGTTATTTTCAATATTAATATTGTTATACCTTCCTCCCATCTTGGTGACACACATGAAGAATGTCCAACTCATTTATATTGATATGTTTATGAGGAGAGGAGAGGCCTTCCCAAAAATAGGCAAATTGCAACTTTGCAGCTATTTCAAAATTTTTGGTCCCTAAGACCCTGTAATAAGCTGACATTTAAATTTCCTCCAATTTGTGAGGCAGTTATCAATGAACTCCATAGTATCAGTTCTAATATAGCAGTGGTGGCAAACCTATGGCATGGGTGCCAAAGGAGGCATTCAGAGCCCTCTGTGTAGGCACGCGCACCATCGCTCTAGTCCTAGACCTTCAGCTGGGTTTTATAAAACCTTTTCACTTAGGCCTCCACTGCCATGTGCAAAAAAAAAAAAAAGGTTCAATCAATCAGTCAATTTCAACTTCTCGCGGGAAAAAAAAAGATCTTGCAAAGTTGAAATTGATTGATTGAACTTTTTAGTCCCACCCAGTCTGCCGTTACCACCGCACCCATGCCCACCCAATGGGCCAGACCCAGCCAATGGGCCATACCCACCCGGTACCCAACCATCCATAAGTGGGTTTTGGGTTGCAGTTTGGGCACTCAGTCTCTAAAAGGTTCGCCATCACTGTAATATAGGAAAGTCTTAATTGAAACAACAGTAACAATGAACTTCATGTACATATATAATGTGATTTGCAGATTTCAGTTACCCACCCACCCTCCAGACGTCCAAAAGTTGTTTGTTTGTTTTTCAAAAAGCATCTGGACTTTCTTTCTTTTTTCTCCTTTAAAAACATTTCATTCATCCAAGATGCTTAACTTCAAGACACTCCAGACATTCAGTGCAACCTTGGGCCATAAAAACATTCCCTTCCCCAGACTTAGCACATAAAAATCTAAAATAATTGAAGTCAAGATAGACTATGGATGTCTTTTTGGATGTGTCTAGGTTCGGCATTTTTGTGAAAAAGATGGTTTGGTTTGGTATTTTCTTAGTCCAGAATGTTTTTCAGTTTTTATTTTAGCCTACAGATTTCTTAGTCATCTCCTTCCTGAGTACCAGCAAGATGAATCTTTATTAATTTTTATTAATTTTGCAGCCTGTGAGCAAGTGAAGTAGGGATTGTGCTTTGGAAAATCAATAGCAATATTTATTTATTTATTTATTTATTTATTTATTTATTTATTTATTTATAAAATTTATAAGCCGCCCCACTCCCGGAGGACTCTGGGCGGCTAACAATAAAAAACACATAAAACATAACAAAACAAACAGTACAAGAACAGTCATCCAGGGGTCAGGTTTTATAAACAATAGACCAGGGGTCCCCAACTCCTGGTCTGTGGACCGGTACCGGGCCACGGCATGCCAGCAACCGGTCCATACAAACAAGCAAAGCCCCATCCACGGGATGCAGGCAGCACACAAAACCGCACACTCTCCAGTCCATGGACAAACCTTGCCCAAAAGGTTGGGGATCTCTGACTTAGATTTATTTATTGCTTCATCGTGCTTTACGGCCCTCTCTAAGCGGTTTACAGAGTCAGTCTATTGCCCCCAACAATCTGGGTCCTCATTTTACTGACCTCAGAAGGATGGAAGGCTGAGTCAACCTTGAGCTGAGAATCGAACTGCTGGCAGTTGACAGAATGAGCGTGGTGGTTAGAATACTGCATTCTAACCACCACGCCACCACACTTCTGCAGCCAGCTGTAGCCAGGCAGAAATGCATCTCTGCACTTCCTACATGCACTCATAAATTTACTCACAAGCACCCAAGCCCTTGTTGCAGATGCCTGTGTTAATTGAGCTCCACTCTGGTGCTTTCAAGGACATGCTATATGTCCAGAGGCAACTTTACCCCACCTATTTTTTTGAACTTACAAAAAGCAAATTCTAAGGCAGACTGGGGGTGCGTGTAGCACGAAACATGAATGCAAATCACCTACAGACAGAGAAGCGGAGGTAATGCGTGCAGGTTGGCAGCTATTACAATCTTGCGTGAGGACTTTCATTCAACTGCCAGGTCTGCAAACTATGGTGAGCAGCACGTCTTGGTAGAAATCTTGCCAGGAGCTTGGAGCTTTTCTGGAAGCTCAGTAGCAATTACAAAAAGGAACAACCACGCTGAAGCCATACCTCATCCCCATTAGCACAAGAACGTTTGGAGAAAGGGTGTGTGCTATTTTAAAGACTTTGAGATTTTTGCTTAAACTGGGCATAAAGGACTGAATACTAAACACATTTTTAATTGGCAAGATCACCTTGCAAAGTCCTCAAAGGGCGGAGATGATCCAGAGCCATACCCTGTAGTTAGGGAAGGTGTGTGTTGTAATTAAAGTATTGTGTTTGTGTTGTAATTAAAGTGTTGTGCTGTGCAGAGTCCTTGGAGAGCAAAGGACTCTAATACAACAATTCTATTTTGAACCATTCTGTTCTGAATCAGAGTCATCTCCTGGTGATTTAACAGAATAACAGTTGGAAGGGACCTTGGAGGTCTTCTAGTCCAACCCCCTGCTTAAGCAAGAGATTGTATACTGTTCTGGACAAATGGCTGCACTGTCCTCTTTAAATGCTCCAGTGATGAGCACCCATAACTTCTGAAGGCAAGACATTTCACTGATCAATTGTCCTCACTGACAGGACATTTCTCTTTAATTCTAGGATTTCTCCTTGATAAGCTTCAATCCATTACTTCTTCTCCTGCCTTCAGATGCTTTGAAAAATAGTTCAACCTCCTCTTCTCTGCGACAACCCCTCAAATATTGGAAGACCGCTATCATGTCATCGCTGATCCTCCTTTTTGTTAGACTAGTCCAGGGGTCTTCAAAAATTGGCCCTTTTATGATTTGTGGACTTCAACTCCCAGAATTCCTCAGCCAGGCATGCTGGCTGAGGAATTCTGGGAGTTGAAGTCCACAAGTCATAAAAGGGCCAAGTTTGAAGACCCCTGGACTAGACTTATACAGTTTCTGCAACTGTTCCTTTAGCCTTCAGTCCCTGAATCATTTTTTACTGTGCTTCTCCGCACTCTAACTTTGTGATCAAAACTGGATGCGATATTCCAAGTGCAGTATAAAGCTTTGTGGAACTATCCATGTTCTTTTCTCGCATGTGGACTCCCACTAAAGTGTGAACAATGGTTGGAAACTAACCAAGGAGAGAAGCAATCTAGAACCAAGGATAAATTTCCTAATGGTGATAGCAATCAACTATTGGATGGCTTGCCATCAGAGGTTGTGGATGCTCCATCACTGGCAACTTTCAAAAGAAGACTGGACAACCATTTGTCTGAAATGGTATAGGAGGTTGGACTAGAAGACCTGCAAGATCCCTTCCAAGTCTATTAGTCTATGTTCTAATTAGCGTAATCTTCCTTAATTTTTGGAAAGTCAGGCCTTCCTAAATATTGGCACCTAGCCCAGCTACATACAAATCAGTTTTGTTAATCAAGGTGCTACACAAAGGGGTCTTTAAACTTGGCTCTTTTATGACTTGTGGACTTCAACTCCCAAAATTCCTCAGCCAGGCATGCCTGGCTGAGGAATTCTGGGAGTTGAAGTCCACAAGTCATAAAAGAGCCAAGTTTAAAGACCCCTGTGCTACAGTCAACAGAAAGCCAACAATGCTGTGTAATAAACTGGAGAGAAATAACCCAACTTCTTTAAGGCTGAATAAGTAACCTTACCTGTGGTATGCCATATTTGTCAATGATCTGCCAAATGTACCAATCTTCTCGCCTGGATGACTTGCGGAACTTGAAAGTGGCGACAAAACCATACTCATCTGGAAGTCCTTGTGGAAAGACATCTCTGGAAGAAGGAGGTGAGGGGATAGAAAGTAATGAAAAGCATTAAGGTGTATATATACCTATCGTTATTCTACTGTATATTTCAGTTTGCTTCCTATTTTGATTGTGCTCCTGACTTTCACTACTAGAGCTCACACAGTACATGGGTATGCTCTTAAGCACATTGAGTGAACCTTGGTTTAAGAAGAAGTTTACAAACTTCTGCATTGACAGAAAATCTGAGAACCTCTGATGTCATGACCAGTAACTATAGTACTTAAATGTTCATGTTTGGGCCATTTTGCTACTTCGGTAACAGTTGGCAGAATGTACTGTAAAATGAGCAGTTGGAACCGTGTTGTGTTATTCAAGCAGGAAATGAAAGAAGCAGTAATAAATATAATGAATGGAAATACCCTTCTCTCAGTTGGCTTTTAAATGATGTCCACTCTTACCTGCCTGGTGCTCATGCAGAATTAACCCCAGTTGCCTGATGCAGAAAACAGACTATTTCGGTTAATCCTATCATTGTGACCTAATCAGACAGGAAGTGTTTCAAATTATTTTATCATATGAAGCTCTTACTGTAACTCTCTTTCAAGCCTACACAGACATAGTCTTTATTGTCTGCTGGTGGTGTCTGCTAGAATCTGGGGATTTTCTGCTCTCTTTATTTGGACAAAATTCCACTTCTGAAAAAGAGCTTTGCTCTCTTTGTTTCTCTTCTTCAGGTTTCCTAATGAAGTTGGATTTCACTTGAAATAATTTGAAACTGTCTTCATCTGTAACATCCTGATGAATTTATGGATTTCTACCAAATATGGAATAAATTTTATAAATGGTGGGGGAAAAAAAAATTTGGAGGTCACTGTGATGAGATAAGTTAAGATTGAGTTTAGAGTGATGTTATTGTATAGAGTTTAATCAATTATGAATAGGAATGAACTGAGATGTTGGTCAAGTCTTATTTACCATGTTCAATGTTTGTAAACTTTTTAATTTTTTTTTATTTAATAAAATAAAATAAACTGTCTTCATCTGCAGTACACATTTTAGCTAAGATTCTTTGAGGGATCCTTGGTACTCTCTGAGCTTGGCTGTTTTCTTGCATCACCCAGACTAGGGAACATTATCGGTGTTTGCTCTCAATTTATATTCTAGCAATTTGTTTTCTCATTACTAGTAAAAGTGGTTTGGGGGTTGTTTGGGTGGGTTGTTTACTGATAGCTTGTTGGCCAGTTCCTTGATTGGGGTATTGTTTACTTCTTGGTTGTTGGTCTGATCTTATTCTTGGTGTTAATCTAGCCTCATCTGGATGTTGATTGCTGGTGGGGGAGGTTTTTTGGGTCTTTTTGTACCCTTTTTGTCTGGTTGATTTTTTTCTTTGTCACGACTAGAGTTGACTTTGATGGCGACACACTTGTATTTCTTTATTTACTATTTACTTACTATACAACACACTTGTATTTCTTTACTTACTATCCTTACTATTTTCAGAAGAACCAAAAATGTTCAGATCAATAGCAACAGTCATTTGGCCCATCCTGTCCCTTAGGACCATATTTAGGACTGTTGCCACTTTTTTTTTCCTTGTATGATCTGCTGTTCTAGAGCCTAGCCGTTTTGTTGATCTAGAAAGTTACCTCTGTTGTAAATAAATAGAAAATATATTTCTACTTCTATGGTCCTGAGAAATCATAGAAAAAGGAGAAATTCTTCAAAACCAACTGGGAGATGGGAGTTTCCATTCATTAAGTCCTTTGTTACTACTTTCATTTTCTGTTTCATTTTCTGCATGTTGTATATAGTAGGTATATGTTGTGTATAGTATGTTTAGGTGTGTGTCATGTATGTGTTCACTTTGAGAGCGGGCAACTAAATTTCATTTTGATGTGTATTGTTGTGCCCACAGTAAAAAAAGACAATAAATCTTCTCTTCTCTTCTCTTCTTTTCTCTTCTCTTCTCTTCTCTTCTCTTCTCCTCTCCTCTCCTCTCCTCTCCGCTCCTCTCCTCATCTCATCTCATCTCATCTCATCTCATCTCATCTTATCTTATCTTATCTTATCTTATCTTATCTTATCTTATCTTATCTTATATCTGCTTGAAAAAAAAAATGGGACCAATATCCTCTTTCAACTGGTCATTATCTAGATTAGGGGTGTTCAAACTTGGCCCTTTTATGACTTGTGGACTTCAACTCCCAGAATTCCTCAGCCAGCGTGCCTGGCTGAGGAATTCTGACAGTTGAAGTCCACAAGTCATAATTAGACAATTGCAATTCTGGACTGTATGTTTAAATCTTATTGGTGTATTATAAATCTGGATGATTTCAATTCCCCAATGCCACCCTGAATCTAAAAGGCCCTTATTAAGGAACTGAAGTAATAAAAGAAAAAGTTCAAAGGAAAAGGAAAAGGGGGAACTTACTGTGTTCGCTGAACAATGGGGGAGGTTCCAAGACGAACATAAGAGCTCTGAATTCCATTGTCTTTCATTCGGAATATCTCCCGCACGCTAAATAATTCCATCAAGTCAAACCCTGCCAAAACAACAATAACAAAAACAAACATGAAAGAGCAAAGACATCTTGTTTAGCTGCTGATAGATATTATTTATTCATATCTATTGATATGATTAATAGTTAAAATTAATATACTTTTCATTATTAAAAGAGGGCCAGTTTGATGTAGTGCTGAGGTTGGTGGCCTAGAAACCAGGACAATGGGAGTTGTAGTCTGCCTTAGGTATGAAAGTTGGCTGGGTGACTTTGGGTCCTCACTCTCTCAGCCCAACCCACCTTACACACTTCTTATACCTTACACACTTGGGTTTGTTTATTCTAGTGAAAAGGACCAGGGAAGACATGATCACAATGTTCCAATATTTGAAGGGCTGTCAACAAAGAAGAGGGGGGTCTATGTATTTTTCAAAGCATCAGAAGGCAAGACACGAAGCAATGGATGGAAACTAAATAAGGAGAGAAGCAACCTAGAACTAAGGAGAAATTTCCTAACAGTGAGGACAATTAACCAATGGAATAAGCTTGTTTTTAGAAGTTGTAAGTGCCCCATTGCTGGAGATTTTCATGAAGAGACTGGCAGCCATTTATCAGAAATGGTGTAGAGTCTCCTGCTGAAGCAAGGGGTTGGACTAGAAGATCTCCAAGGTCCCTTCCAACTTCGTTATTCTATGGTCTATGTTCTTGTGGGGAAAACAGGATGAGGAAAGATTGTTACTTATGTTTACCACCTCAAGGTACCTATTAAGTAATAAAGGCATCCTAAAGTGTGCTGCCAAAGAGATAGCTAGGTGTAACAAAACCAAGATGAGATGTTTCTTTTTCACTCTTTCTTCAATCTCAGGACTGCATAATCACTTCTTCTAAGACCTTTCCTCAAGACAGCTAGAAATTCCTTTATTTATTATTATTTTTCCTGTAAGTTTTTTTTTTTTAATGTCCATTGGCACACAGCATCTTTGTTTCTCCAGTTAATTGTGGTAACCTGTTTCCACCGGGCACAGTATAATAGCCATCTAATAGTGCAATGTTGCATATGTCCTTAGAGAAGGGAAGGGATCAACAACTTCTTTTCAGTGCCAGAGTCAAGAATGCTTAATTAAACTAAGATTGATCCATTTGCAATGCAACATGTTGAAGAGGATCCAACCATTTTTGCATAACCCTGGCAATCACCCATATCATGATTAATTGGTTTGGGCTTAGCACCTTATGCAAACAGAGCACTTTGTTACCCAGTTTTAAGAGTTGGAGGCTATATAAACCCAGGCAGCATCTTTACACACACACACACACACACACACACACATGCACACACACAGACACACAAACAAAGACACATAAAAATAAAACACAAACGGCTTCAGTTCAGGAACCTCTATTAGAATTTTCAATCTCTTCAAAAAGTGATGTCATTTGGGACGGTAGAAGGTGTGCTGTGATCTTTTGCCAAGCTTGTAATTTTGGAGATATTACAGCTTGGAAATAATTACTTAGCTGGTACTTTCTTTATTTCCTGAAAGTTTTTTTCCTCCCTTTATTCTTTGCTCTCTTTTTTTGTCCGTCAAGAGAAGTAATAAGTAGTAAATATTCTTCTCCAGTGCCCATAGGCTTCACCCCATGAAAGACCCTGGAAAGAGCTATAATGAGGTCATTTTTGATATATTACCTCTGTTGCAAATGGCCTTGTAAACTGCAGCCACAATTTACAGCTGCTTGAGAGAACCTTATTGGCTCAAACATACAAAAATATGACTGAGATATGGAAATTCTGTATTAATAAGGAAGAAACCTATGTCTTATTTCCCATTTTGAAATGCATTTTGCTTTTTTTAAAAAAAATTCATCAGACCCTTCTGGGAGAGTAAATTTCTATTGGCTTTGACTTCAGTTCAGTTTTATTTTTTTTTAAAAAAATACATATTTGCATATTGCACGAAAAAAGAATTCATTGAAAATATTTATAGGGCCAGTTTTTCTCCCCTGGATCGCATCAAATGCATGTTTTGTCATTGATGGTCAAATGGATCTACCATATTTGCTCCCAGAACATTATTTCTGGAGCACATAATGATGTATCATTATGTCGGTATGTAGCACCATTTCTAAGAGCTTTGCTAGATGGGAAAATATAATGCACGGAAATACCACTGCTCTTTGCAACCTTGTAAAATTCTTTCCCCACCAAAAGAGACACAGATACAAAACAAAATAAACACACACACACACACACACACGCACCCATAAAGATCCAACTGTCCCTAAACTCCCCTTGAAGTCCTTCAATGAAGAAACAAAAATCCCTCTTTTTTTGGAGTCCCATTATTATTCCTTATGATTTTGAAGATGATGGTGGTGGTGATGATGATGTTATCAATTCAGTTGTGTCTGACTTTTGGCGATTCTATGGGCCGGGTCTCTCCACATCTTCTGATCTTGCACTACTTCTTTGAGTTGTTCTATGCCCTGGTTGGTGTCAGCTTTGATGGTGTCCAGCCACCCTGTTCTTTGACGGCCTGGTTTCCTTTTACTGCTAACTCTTCCAAACATAAACTCAGCCAAACAAAAGCTTTGTTTTAGTGCTATCTATTCCTGAAGCTGGTGCTAAGCAGGTAAATGGATCTAAACCAGTGTTTCTCAACCTTGACAATTTTAAGGCATGTGGACTTCAACTCCCAGAATTCCACAGCCATGCCTTAAACTTGTCAACTCCCAGAATTCCACAGCCATGCCTTAAAATTGTCAAAATTGTCAAGGTTGAGAAACACTGATCTAAACTATTCCCATGTAATATTCTGCTCCTTGACCGAAAAAGACAGCCTGGTGCTCTTAAATAATTCTATCTATTTCTATCCAATTTTGGTCACCATACTACAAAAAAGATGTTGAGACTTTGGAAAAAGTGCAGAGAAGAGCAACTAAGACGATCCAAGGCCTGGAGACTAAAACATATGAATTACGGCTGCAGGACTTGGATTTGGCTAGTCTAAAGAAAATAAGAAATAGGAATGAAATGAGAGCAGTATTCCAGTCTTTGAGGGGCTGCCACAAAGAAGAGGGAGTGAAACGATTCTCCAAAGCAGCAGAGGGTGGGAAAAGAAACAACGGTTGGAAACTGACCAAAGAGAGAAGCAACCTGGAATTAAGGAGAAACTTCCTGACAGTGAGGACAGTTAATCAGTGGAACAGCTTGCCTCCAGACATCATGGGCGCTCCATCACTGGAGGTTTTTAAGAAGAGACTGGACAGTCACTTGTCTGAGATGGTATAGGTTCTCCTGTCTGAGCAGGGGGCTGCACTAGAAGACCTCCAAGGTCCCTTCCAGTTCTACTCTACTCTACTCTACTCTACTCTACTCTACTCTACTCTACTCTACACTACTCTACTCTACTCTACTCTACTCTACTCTACTCTACTCTACTCTACTCCACTCCACTCCACTCCACTCCACTCCACTCCACTCCACTCCACTCCACTCCACTCCACTCCACTCCACTCCATTCTATTCTATTCTATTCTATTCTATTCTATTCTATTCTATTCTATTCTATTCTATTCTATTCTCAAAAGAAGGTACTGTCCTGGCCAGTAATAAATGCTATTTTGGGGCTTAATACAGTCACTCTATAAAATATATCTCTGCTTTCTAATGTGATGAGAAGAAGAATTGGTTGTCTTTAATATTGCATTACCTGGTATGTCATCCATTTCTCCATTGGAGTGTTTGAACCGGTCTCCTTCTACGTGAACATTTGGACACAGGACATCTGCACAGAGGGAATATAAAGAAAGAGATATTTAAACCAGAGTTATTGCTAAGATCTCCATTGATTTATTTTTTCTTTTGGTTTTGTGTTATCACCTCTTGGCAAAGTAGAACCAACATTTAGTACTTTTTTATTCTTTTGATAAACTGTGGAAACCCTAGGAGTCCTGGGCAGCCTTCTTACCCACAAAAACACTACAAAGAAAGTTGTATAAGCCAAAACAATTGCACACCTCACCGAGAAAGAAACTGGCATCACAAACAGAACTGACTGCCAAGATTGCAACCAGCACCACATAGTGTAAATAGGACCCCAATTGCAGTAAAGTAACGACGAACACATCACTGCAAAAGAACAAGACCAGAATATCTCATAGCTATCTATCCCCTCAGATCACCCACACATTTGACTGGAGAAAGAATCAACCAAGCAAACCACAGAAGAGTCAGGAATTTCTGGAAATCTGGCACTCCGGATAAGATTTATGTCCTATCAGACACAAGATCCAAACCATTCACATCAGACTGACAAGGCAGACCAATCAGAACAGAATTTGCCCCAATCAACGGCACAGAATTCAAGCCCATATGGATTATAAATATCGCAAGGTAAGCCCATTTCTGGATCACTGTAGCGATGAAGCTAAATTAGAATGCACAGGGAAATGTCTGCAGAATTTGTGATCTAGGCTTTGGGGCAGATCTTCCCAAGCCCATAGACCAGGGGTCTTCAGACTTGGCCCTTTTATGACTTGTGAACTTCAACTCCCAGAATTCCTCAGCCAGGCATGCTGGTTGAGGAATTCTGGGAGTTGAAGTCCACAAGTCATAAAAGGGCCAAATTTGAAGACAACTGGCCTAGACCCTCAAGGAAAGCCCAGTCTACCTCTATTCCAAGAAATGAATACACCAGCTGTGGTTTCCACTGGGGTCCCCTTCTCTTCTTTGGAAAAGAATCTTTGCTCAACACAGTAGCTCTCCAGATAATAAAATGCCTTTGCACATCAAGGCAGATTCATCAAGAAGCCATGACTGACTAAGGAAAAGAGTTGCATGGGACCGGCAGCTGATTAATCCCTTCTGTCACTAGAAATGCTCATGGCATTTTCTCACCATGCAAGCAATATATCACCAAGTTACAACTAGTCGCAGTGGATGGGTGAATCTAGTCTGAGAATGAAAAACCAGATGCTCTTCCTCAACTGTCAAGAATCAACCAGTGCATTAACCATAGTGAAGAGAATTGTCCCCAAAGTGACTTATCATAATACTTGTTGGAAATTATATGATATTCAGCCACTTTTCTTTGCACAATGAAGATTTTCTTTCTATGTTCATTTCTATAATACTTTAAGTATTAGAAGAAATAATTGTCTCCATGTTTCTAGCCCAGGATGAAGAAGGTTAGATAATGATCAAATCTAAAAAACAAAACAAAAAAACCCACCTATTTGATTATGGAAGAAATTTATTCTGCCTTCCCATCCATCCTGCTGGTCAGCAAACATAAATATGGAATGATTGAAATTGTGTTTATTTGGTCAACTTGGAAAAGAAAATCCAAGTCTTTCTAACAAGCAAAGCGAGCTGGGTCTGAAATTTCCTGACAGTTTGAACAATCAATCAGTGGAACAACCTGCCTTCAGAAGCTGTGGATGCTCCATCATTGAAGGCTTTTAAGAAAAGTCTGGACAATGAAATGGTATAGGGTCTCCTGCTTGAGCAAGGTGTTGGGCTAGAAGACCGCCAAGGTCCCTTCCAACTTGGTTATTCTTTTATTCTCAAGAAAGCAAGCCAACAACAACTAAAGATAGCTAGTTAAACTGTGCATATCAATATATAGCACTTGAACACACTATTTTCATCTATGACATGCATCATTTAACTCATTAATCTCATACTAATTCAGATAAGAGCAACTAAGATGATCAAAGGCCTGGAGACCAAAACATACGAAGAATGGCTGCGGGATTTGGGTCTGGCTAGTCTAAAGAAAAGAAGAAATAGGGGAGACGGGATAGCAGTGTTCCAGTATCTGAGGGGCTGCGACAAGGCAGAGGGGGCCAGGTTGTTCACCAGATCACCAGAGGGAAGGACCAGAAGCAATGGTTGGAAACTGATCAAAGAGAGAAGCAACCTAGAATTAAGGAGAAACTTCCTGACAGTGAGGACAATTAACCAGTGGAACAGCCTACCTCCAGAAATTGTGGGTGCTTCATCACTGGAGATTTTTAAGAAGAGACTAGACAGTCACCTGTCTGAGATGGTATAGGTTCTTCTGCTTGAGCAGGGGGCTGGACTAGAAGACCTCCGAGGTCCCTTCCAGCTCTATTCTATTCTATAGATGCTTGTCCTCTGACATATATCATTGCCCTTTGACCTCTGTTACCTGCTGACCTCTGCAATAATCCTGCCCAATCTTATGTAATCATGAAAGTATTTTGTTTGCAAAATGAACCCATGTAGACACAATGGCTGATTGAGAAGTAGAAGAAATAGCACACATACACACCCTAGCAAAAAGCAAAACTGATTTACCAAGATCAGGCACGTAATTTTGGACCTGACTTTAATAAATATGCATCACCAAGGCATATGTTTGTTCAACCAATGCACGATATTACATATCTAACAATTATGACTAGATTATGGTACACCACTGATATAAATAAACAGATACATAAATACATGCAGGGGAGGAAGAAATGAAACATTCAAAACCAAAGGAGGCTTATTCATGCAATAGGCTCGTGTTTATAAATATGGGGTCTCTTCCCTCTGTTAGATGGTGAGCAGGTTGCTTCTTCATTCATCCCCAAATGTTTTCAGGGTTTCCAGATTTGTATAAAGCGATTAAAAACCACAGCTATTGACCTTCAGCTGAGAAGCAATCATTAAGTGGGGTGTATCAAAACAGAGAGTATATCTGTGTGATGACTCATGGTATAAGAAAAAAACAAACAAACAAACCCACAACAATCAGCAAGGTATAGAAAAAAGTCCCAAAGCATCCCAAGCAGAATAGTCCATCTCAGTCCATCTCTGGGCAACTGTTTTCCTTTCCTTTGTTTTGTGATGGTTCTTTCACCAGAGATGGTACATAATTTTGATTTATTTATTGAAGTGTGGAACACATAATTGATTTCAGTGTGGTAATAAGAGGCAGATTTGTTTCTTTATATCCAATGTTCTTTCTTGGGAAACACAAAAGACGGAAGAAATGAACACCTACTGTTGAAATTCTTTGCATATGGATAGATGAAGAACTCTAGAGAGCTGGAGATAAGAAAAGCATTGCGAGGAGGAGGAGGAGGTAAATTGTATGCAATTTACATACAATCTATAAGTTGTGCCTGGATCTGAAACTTTTTTTTTATTGTTGGATCTTTCCCAAAGATCTGGAATAGTTAAAAGATATTTTCATAATACACGTGGGGTTCCAATACAACCTTTCACAATTGATGACTTCATATTGTATCCATTCCTGTTTTTCCCAAGTGGTTTTCCCAAATGTCTGGTAAAGCACATCAACCACAATTGACTTTCTGTACTGCATTCACTCATTAAGGGCTAAAGGTTTGTATTTATCCTCATATCCGCAATGGAGAATCTAAATGGAAAGGATGAAAGAACTCCTAAATCTATGAGGTTTATAATGTAGATGAATTTCAAAATAAGGCTTTCTATGGATGGTATGTGTCTTCCTCTGTCTTGGGTCCTTTGTCTTTAGATCAGTGTTTCTCAACCTTGACAATTTTAAGGCATGTGGACTTCAACTCCCAGAATTCCACAGCCAGCAATGCTGGCTGTGGAATTCTGGGAGTTGAAGTCCACATGCCTTAAAATTGTCAAGGTTGAGAAACACTGCTTTAGATGGATATTTTTAACACACACAAACACACACAGAGAGATAGATAGAGAGATAGAGATAGATTGATAAATACAGTAGATGAAGAGAGAGAGAGGGATAAGAGAGAGGGAGAGGGGAAGAAGGAGAAGGAAACAGAGAGGGAGATGGGAGAGAGGGGGAAGAAAGAGGGAGGGGAGTGGGAAGAAGAGGGGAGGGAGAGGGATAGACAGACAGACAGACAGACAGACAATCTAACATCTTTCATTTCTAACTATATCACATTTTAATGGGGTTAAAAACTGAAAACAACACCCTAAGACACAGAGGACATACATACCTCCTTGTAAAAAAAAAAAAAACACAACAGCACCTAAATACCTTTTAATTCCTGTCCATTTATCATGCATTCAAATTGCCAGTGCCAAGAAAAACAGCTTCCTCCCTCGCTAACAAGTTTTCAGTCAAAGCCTACAAGTTCCTTTGCCTTCCAGCTGGCCTTCAAAGAACTGAGCCCCAGAATTGATTTGAGGAAATGAAGGGGAACGAGACACAGGAAACTCAATTGGCGAGAGACAACAAAGCGAAATCATGGCCCTGGAGACAAATGAGCCTCTAATAGAGCAAGCAGTCAAGCTTGCAAGAATGAGTTCCAGGTCTAGAATCTTTCACTAACTGGAACAATTGCCAATGTGTGTAGGTGGATTAATTAAGAGTGAACCATGTTGTTCTTTGAATCACACGTGAAACTTCCTATAGATTGGGGTTGGGAATAACTAGAACTTTTTTTTTTTTGTTCCCTCTTGTTAATCAGATCATTTATAATCCATCTATGGGTTGCATTATTATATTTTTCATGCAGAAAAGTCTTTGATATCACAAGTCAGTAGGATCTCAGTCATAAGGCACAAGGAATATTGTACAGTCCCTGGATTCTGAAGTTCTGAAGTGAGGAATTCAAGGAGTTAAAAGGCACACATCTGGAGGATGGACAATTTAGAGAAGGCAACTGTACATACACCAATTCTTTGACTCCCTAAAATACATTTTCTTCATTTAAACTTTTCCAGAGCATTTCTTTTTTTCCCCAGTTCTTTGGCATTCTACTCTGAAGAGTAGTCTCTATCTCTTAAATAGACTTCCAGCCTTGTTGG